AGAGAGAGAGAGAGAGAGAGAGAGAGAGAGAGAGAGAGAGAGAGAGAGAGAGAGCAGTGCAGCTGAAAAGAACAGACCATATAAATACGGGCATTAGAGGCACTTTTGTTAATAGAGCACTTTTGTTAATAAACAAGAATTAAGAATAAAGGGCATAGAAGAGACAGTAGTGGAGATTATTGATGGAAAAAAAAGAGGAACTAATTAGTTGTCGCATTAATCAGTGTTATTTTCAAGTTTTATCGCGTCCTCTGCGTAGACGTCATTACGTTGTTTGGTATGGATCACCATCGTAGGTAGGGCAAGATGGCTCCATCGACAGGAACAGCTGTTTTACGCTAAGGGACAACGTAAAGCAAGTAAATAATAAATTGGAAACAATATAAAACGACGATAGACTGAACTCTCATATTAGTTGTTAGATCCGCTAGCAGACAGTAGCTTATAAATTAACTACAGCAGCTTATTGTTGCAAGTGTAACATTAGAACGATCTTAACATTTCGGCTTATAATGACCGATAACACGCTCTCATGTGATTTTACAGAAAAGTGCGGAATCTGACACAAAATGTCGCGGGCTTCATTTTAGCCTGTATAGGTCTCGACGAAAATTACATGCAGTGATAAACAATCACGATTTTAAAATGGATGTGGTGATTACCAGCTTAGAAGCTCTTATACGTGAGTATGACTAGAGTAACATTGGTGGTTCAAACAGCCTTTTTCTTAGTGAACCTATATATTGTGATATTACATTGTTATAGAAAGAGCAACAAATCCACAAAATCAGAAGCCAGATGTAGCAGCTATTGAAGCTTTCTGTGTATTAATTACCAAAGAAGCTGAAGGTATTCAAATAGGTACCAAACTGTTGGCGACATATATTCAGTCACTTGATGAATCAGAAGCCTTGCAAGCTCTTTCAGTATGTTATTATCAGATATTTTGTAGAGCACTATTGTGTAATACTATTTCATATTGTTGAAACGATGGTGGGCTTATGTGTGTACACACACACACATATATACACACATACATATATATGTATATAGTCTATCAATGAACTTCTTTATATATCCTGATATCTAAATATTTAAAATTTTATTAGCGTAGAGATCAAAATTTTAAATTATATACTAATAAAAATAATTATATACTAATAAACTAATAATTATATACTAATAAAAAAGCATATATAATAATAATATAAAAATTATATATACTAAGAAAAAAGCATCTATTAAGATCCAACTTTAATAAAGACATTTTTAATTCCTTTAAATTTCTTTAAAGTGACACGAATCATATACAATACCTTGAGGATACCTTAGTTAAGATGTTTTAAACTTATAATTTCTAAATAACTGATACATGTATTTATCTTCAGTTACTAGATACTTGTATGAAAAGATGCGGTCCATTATTTCACGCTGAAGTTGGTAAATTCCGTTTCCTAAATGAGATGATAAAATTGGTCTCACCAAAATACTTAGGTGGTCGTACTACAGCTAGTGTACGACAGAAGGTCCTACAACTTCTTTATGCTTGGATCAGAGAATATCCACGTGAATTAAAAATTAAGGAAGCTTATGAGATGCTAAAGAAACAAGGAGTGGTCGAGGTTGGCTTTGTTTATTATATTTCTAGTTGCTATTGTTTTGCTTAAATTCTGATGCAATTACTATGTCATGTCAAATACTGAGAAAAAAAATAAATTGCAGGAGGATGCAGCATTCATAATGGCTAACAGTGAGGAGAAAAAATCGTCTAAGATAAAAAAAAGTATATTCGAAAATGAAGAAATGTCGAGACACTTGCGCAAGTTGCTGCACAGCAAGGATCCTTACGATCTGCAAACTGCAAATCGATTGATCAAGGTTATGGTAAAAGAGGTAGATATCTAAATCCCAGAAGAATATTAGAAGTGAGAGACCTTAAATCCCAGTTTAATATAAATATTCCAATAGCGATTAAGGATTGAAATCTTAATTAAAGATTTTCTAGCTTCAATTATTTCCAAATCCTATATTTTTTCTTAGATTCCAGTTATGTGTTGGAATCTTAATTAAAGATTTTCTAGCTTCAATTATTTCCAAATCCTGAATTTCTTCTTAGATCCCAGTTATCGTTATGGATTATATATTAAAGTTATGGATTATATATTGTTTTAGGACGAGGAAAGATTGCAGTTGAGCTCACGAAGACACATGGAATTAGAGTCGATACACAACAATGTGAAGCTGCTTTCAGAAATGTTGGATTCATATAATGAGAATGAGACTAGCGCGGAGGATCTCGAGTTAATGAAGGAGCTGCATCAAGCATGCGAACGACTAAAACCTATGTTATTGAGACTCGCCAGTGAGACTCAAGGCAATGTTGAAATGCTCGGTACTTTATCCTATCTTGTATATTAACTGATTTGTACAATAATATATCACACGTAATTGACCCACACTTATACAGCTTTATATAAGTCAATTAATCAAAAAGAGCAATTTGAGCAATGGAGAGTTTCCATTCAGGTGACGTGCTTGCTGCGAGCGACGAGCTGAGTCAAGTTTTCGAGAAGTACACGTCAGTCATCGTCCTCGGACAGTCTACTAAGGAGCCTTCTAAAGCGAACGCTCTCAACAATGGACCATCACTCTTAGATCTATCGTCCCCTACCGAAAATGTTCCCTGCGAGAGTACCTTGAGTACACCAAGCGCGACCTCGACGGATCACCGATCGGACATGGACGTACTGGGGGACATCTTTAGCGTCTTAGAGAAATCAGTCAAGTCTGACGCGAATCTGTTAATGCCGAATAATATTATGCAACCGATCAGTATTTCGCCCGTTAACAAAAAAAGTAAGCATAGATTATAACCGATGATTTAACGTAAACATCTTAAATTTTTTAATATCTAAGTTAAAATTATTTTTATAAATTTCTTGTTTTCTCTTTCTGCCTATTTGTTCGTTGTTTTTATTCATTGAGTGCTTTGGATATGCATTATTTTCTGAAATGACAAAATTTGGATATAGACGAAGTTACCAATACCGAGGGAGAGAAAATAGATAGTAAGGCGAAAGCACTGGAGGAATTGAACGAATTGGGGGAGACTTTACTCAAACAAAGCTTGTCGAGTGCGCGCTCGTCGCAAGGGTAAGCATATTTTCTGTTATTTGTTTGCGCCTTAAAACTTTTATTTCCTATAAAACTATTAATTTAATCTATTTGTAATTTATAATTAAGTTATATCTTAAGTAATATGAAAATTACAATGAATTTTATAACTTAAAAAATATTAAAGATCCCCGGATTAATTATTACATTCTCCTATTGGAGACAAATTTTTCTCGTAAAGGAAAATTCCTTCAAACTAGTCAAATTATTTATATGTAAAAGACAGGTACATTGTGTTTATGTATGTATGTATAAACAATTGTTTTGCAGAAAATTTAATAGTAACATAACGAAAACCACCATCGGTGACTCAGTTTGGAAACCAAATTGGTCCCATGATTCTAACAGTGCGTCGCAACGTGTAACAACGGAACAGATTGAACGTGCAAAACAGTGTGAAACAAACGGTAACTCTTCGGACATTTCGGCATCTTCAAATTCATCGAAAATCAACGTTATCACTGATTCGTGTAACAAAAATGGTAATACTAGTGCGGTAATACCGGACACAAGAATATCACAGCAACAGCATCAGGAACTAACACAATTGCGTAATGGTTCATCGAGGATAACGGATGCCGAGCCCGAAATCAAACCATTAACGGATATCAACGTTAATCTTGAAGATATTACACCAGGTTGTTACATTGATTTGCATGTCAAATTAGTATATTAATTTTATATGCCAAATCATTGCTCTAATAATTTTTAACTTGTTTCTTGCAATATTATATTTGAAGAACTCAACATTATACTTAAAGGATCAATCACATTTAACAGGTACAAATCCACCTCTGACGGTAATTGAGGAAAGAAACGGTATAACTGTAGTGCTTCATTTTGCTCAAGACAGCCCTAGACCGGATGTGTCTGTAGTAGTAATTACTACAATGAGCAAAAACACAAAGCCGCTTAGTAATTATCAATTCCAAGCAGTCGTGCCTAAAGTAAGTGTACAATCTACAGTTTATAAATCTAAACATCTGATAAATCTAAATACGACAATCTAGGATTTTAAGATTAAAAAAACTTATGCTATTAATATATAAGTTAATATGTAAGTTATATATAAGTTATATAATTAATATATACTATAAGTTTCTTTATATAAACTTTGAAATGTATGTGTAGAAATGCAAGTGCAGGCTGCAAGCACCTTCTGGCACAAAGTTACCGGCGCATAATCCGTTCCTTCCACCTTCTGCAATCACGCAAATTATGCTGATTGCAAATCCTCTCAAGGTAATGTAATTACATAATTGTTCTTTTTATATTTTTGTATCTTTGTATATTTTTATAAAGACAAATTAATAGCCGTCCAATATCGAGTTTAAATTAGCAAAATTAATATGAAATTTTTTGCGAAAACTGCATTTTTCATTAATTGCAATTTTAGGAGCCCGTGTCCTTGAAGTTTATGCTAAGCTATACGTTGGACGACGAAACTATTACAGAAATGGGTGAAGTGGACAAGCTACCTCACCTGTGAAGTCCAGCGCACTCTTGCAGCGATCTCGATGCAATCTTGCATTCGTATTCGTGCCCTCAGCAGGCCAAAAATAATATAAAAATATTCCAATTATAGAGCGACCCATTTAAAAATACATGCAATGAAATGAAATTTAGATTTTCTCATTTAAAAATACATGCAATAAAATGAAATTTAGATTTTCTCTATACTGTTTTAAACTTAGAATGCATAACAATCTGGAAAGATCGATCTGACGACTATCTTAATTGTAAATTTTATATGCATTGTTCTTCGTACGAATAATGTCTCTACCTAAGAAAATGAAAAATGTAGTGAATGTCTCATACGAAAAGAACATGTTTACGAGAAACAATTTTTCATGTGTTAGAATTACTGTAAGTAGAAATAATGAAATAGAATACGATTGCCAGATTGTGTTAATACCAAGTATTCTTTTTCGTTAAATTATGCTATAGTAGAGTTTTATTCAGATATAATAATAACTTAAAGATCGTATTTTATCAGCCATCTGGATTATATTCATTTTTCAATTTCAAGTCTTGATGTTAGAAAGATGGAAAAAACATGCTATTTTGTTTTGCTAAATTTTGGAGGTAGAGTTTAGTTCGAAACGCATCCGGTGTGTGTCACTTTGTAATATTTATTATACCATGAAATAATATATAAAATATATAAGTACTTATTCTCGCGTAAAATCGTCTTATGTATTGTATTCGTATAGTTCATATAATAGTATGATAAGTATCACGAAGCGAGACATCGGTTGCAAATTGTGCATTCTAGGATTAAATTAGTGAAGCATCAAGATAAAAAGAATTAAATTATCTTAGTGAAAAATTTGCAAGAATTATCATAAAGTATCAATAGAGAAAAGGGAAAAGTTATTAAACACACATTCTTAATCTTAGTATGCATAGTGTTATTTTAGACTCGCTCGCGCGTGTGGCGGCATACTTTTACTTACGTGTTCCTTTTTTTAATTCGGTTATCAGCCTCTAAGAATTTTCATATTGAATATATGAAAGAAAGGGGCGTGCATACTAGGGTTAAGCAGAGTGATATTATTTCGAATTGTTATGGACGGCTTCGCGTTTTGATTAAGATACGCTATTTTCGGTATTTGTTTATTCATATAATTAAGAGTCTATCGTACATATGTAGTTGTATGCTGCTTTGTGATATATGCTTTAATAAGTGTAAACCTATTTTAAGACCGCGAGTTTAATAAACCAAATAAAGTTAAGAAGGGATAAACGGGAAGAGCTGTAATGTGTTTACATGAAGCAAAAAATTCCGCAAGTATTTTAATGATATTTTAATTAATAGATTATTAAATTATTATTATATCGAGTTTTTTTGTACATTGTTAAGCGAATCTTCCGTCAAATTTCTTCAATATAAGATATTTTAGATTTCTCTCCTTTATAGTCTTAGCAAAGCTAGTTCGTTTTCGAGTTTCCGCAATTTCACAAGTAATACATAAAGTATTATTAAAAAAACGAAAATATAAATATATGTATATGTAACAAAATTTTCTTACACCAGAATCGTGAATACACAATTTTCAATTTTCAAGAATTTTTAAAAATTAAAAAATGTCTGTTTTGTATCTCATATATATATATATATATATATATATATATATATATATATATATATATATATATATCTGGTTTTTGTTTAGCTTGCGGAAACAATTTCGTCGCGAAAAGCAAGAGCCGTAACGGCTTTCTGGTGTCCTTGATATTCCCGTTCTATTGATCCTGTAGATGCGTTCCATAACCTCGCGACTCCGTCCGAGGACGCTGCATGAAACGTGGGCAACACGAAGTAAAATTAAGTAAAGTTAAATTAAGAAGTACCGTAAGATTTGAATTGCTTTACAGTTTCTTGATTCTTTTTGCGATTATTTAAAAGTGAAAAATGAATCCCGATAGAAGTTGTATTACGCAAAACTTATCGGAACTGAGAGGTATTGTGCTTACCAGTAAATATATATTGAGAATCTGCACTAAATGCTGCATCCCAGACCCAACGCTTCGCCTCGTGTTGAAGTACTTGTACTTCGGAAAAGTCCGTTGTTCTCCACACTCGGGCGGTCTGATCGGCCGACGTAGTTACCAATAATCTTAAGGGATTGATTTTAGTATAGAACATTTTTGGAAAACTCATAAGATCATACAAAATTATAATACCAACAGAAGGATGTCTTACGTAGAATCAGGACTGAATTTGCAACGAAGAGCATAACGCTTATGAGCCAGAAGTTTATGACGAGGATTTAATCTTGTGGGTTCTTCCCCAATGCCTCCTGTAAGTGTCCAGATATAGCAGTGTCCCTTGTTGTTCACAGCTGCCATATAAGTACCATCCTGATCTATTGCGATATCTTGAATTGAAGATTCAGCCTCGGGAATCTACAAATATTTACGCACATAATGAGCTAAAATAAGAAATTTCATGATTTTTTTAAGGATTTTTCTCTTATGTTTGCATATGTAGGGGACTATATCATAAAATATAAGTTTCCAAAAAACAAGAGAAAGAACCACTACTAAAATTTTGCTTTTGTGGATTTTGTAAACAAAAATAAAATTTTTATAATATAAAACAAAATATGTACCAATTGCTCATTATGATCTGAACGTAAATCCCATAAATGTATCACTCCGCTCTGATCCCCAACAATCAATTCTGCCTGATTTGGATGTAGACATACGCAGTTCACAGGTGCAGTAACTTGAAATATTCTTTGGCATTGAAAACTGCTGGACCTATTACATCATTCAGTAATGATTTTAACTCCAAAGTGCAAATCTTTTATCCATATAAATGACTTACCTCATGTCCCATATCCTTGCTGAACAGTCTTCCCCACCAGTATACATCCATTTTCCTTCTTCCTATTTATAAGAAATGTTTGTATGTATATTAATAGTTTTGAACATAATAGTACAGGATATAGTATGCTCTCAGCTTAATAACACATGTATAATCAGAGAAGAATTTTAAATATAGATAATAAAGAATATTATAATATACCTGAAAACCTAAGCCAGTAATGTTCTTTGATACTCCATCATAATTAATAACAGGATTGGGATTATTTGAAGCTAAGTCATACATCCGTATATGCTGATATCCAGCAGCAGCAACTACATATTTATCAGGTGTAATGTCTAATGCATTAACTTGCTGTAAAGTTCATTAAGGAAATTTACAGAAAATATTATAAGAAATTTTTCACAATAGATTAACTTTTAAAATATGCAATCTTCAACAAATGTACAAATTATTAATGTTTTCTAATTATTAATAATAAACGTTTGCTTATTGTTCAATCTATATAATTGTAATGTTTATCAAATACAACATTTAACGAAAATTATATATAATACAAATATAACAAAATAATAATATAGTAAAATTTTGCATAATTATTAAAAGATACAGAATCTGCATGTTGTGCTGTACGCTGGCAAACACCCGTATGTGGTTGCCAGATTTTGATTGTGTGATCATAACCTCCTGTTACGAAAATCACTTGCTCATTATTAATTGCACCGTCCACAGTCATTTCTAGTCGAATTAAAGTTTATCTAATTCCAAAATCACAATAGTTTATCGCTTAACAGCTATGTTATTTAAAAAATGCACATTTTTCACCGCGATACGCAGTAATATACATTTTCGTTATTTAGAAACCTAACCTGAACTAGTAAGTGAACCAACTAACCTAACTTAACAAGTAATAGTGCGTTCCATAATGGACGTTTAACGGAAAAAGCGCTCAGTAAGTAATCAGTGATTATTGGTTCTTACTGTTAGATCCCTAAATCTAGACCAATGGGCGCATTCAGTAGAAAAAGCGCTCAGTGAGCAATCAACGATTATTGGTTCTTGCTATTAGATCCCTAAATCTAGACCAATTACATTGACAAATTACTCAACTATTGTGCAACTGTTGAGTCTGCTGAATGCAGCCAATTACATCGACGAATTGCTCAACTGTTGTGCAATTATTGAAGCTGTGTTCCGAAATTCACTGCCAGTACTGAAAATCTACCGTGTACGTGACATAAACTATATATTTTCAGTACTGGCAATGAATATCGGAACACAGCCTGAATTCGTTGAACGCACCCAATATGTATATACGCGCATTTTCTACAGTATACGTAACATAAACTATAGATAAATGCGCGCATTGTGTATTACAGAACGCAATCACTAATGTGTGTACTCGCTTTCAGAAGAAATCGAAGCTTAATGGTGACAACCGATTGGTATATTCTTCTAGGCTTATCAAGAATCTAGATTATATTTCAATCATAGGGTGCTTCCGAAATGTCCAGGTTTGGGTCAAGTTGAGTTAGTTCCACTATAGTATCCGTTATATATACTATAGTGGAACTAACTCAACTCGACCCAACTCTGGGTATTTCGGAAGCACCCATAGGGTGCGTTCAGATTCCTCATCTGGGTGCACTCTATTACTAGAAACACTATAGTATATGTCACATATACTATAGCACTTCTAGTAATAGAATACACCCGGATGAGGAATCTGAACGCAACCCTAATTCTAGAAGTGCTATAATATATGTAACATATATTATAGTGTTTCTAGTAATAATATCACTTCTGGTGAATACAGCCAATACTGGTGCTTCTTGTGGTGGATTCATATTGGGTGCTTTCCAGTTGCGTACACTGTGTTACATAAAACCAGTTTATTGGTTGCATATTATCTTACAAGGTATTTTAGATAATATGTGACCAATAAACTGGTTTTGTGTACGTGTGTGTCAAGATGTGTTAAGCAATTGGAAAGCACCCACTGTCTTTAGGGACTTTGATTAGAGAAATTTTTAGTTCCAGAAAACAAATTCTCATATGTTATCTATCGCATACTATCGGCATACGAAGTTCAAAATGGAAAAACACGAAGGCATATGTCTCTTCCGAAACTGTTGCACGAAAACTGCGAGCAACGAAGAAATTTTGACACTTTTAATCATCGTCTACAACATACGCAGGAGATTTTACAAATATTACGTATGCTAATTATTATGTTTGACAATGTTATCTATAATTGCTTATTTAACTCTTAAGCACTTAAAACACATGCCAAGGAAATATGCAGTAAATATTTATTTTTAACGTATTCTCTCTCTCTCTCTCTCTCTCTCTATATATATATATATATATATATATATATATATATATTAAATTCAATAAATTATATGAATAATTAATAAATTTACTTAGGTTAGTTGAGAACTTGTGATGAAAAACTGTAACAAATAATGGAACCTCTGGTTTATGAGAACTTTCAGTTAAGACAAGTATTACTAATTGAGATTGGAGCTTCTAATCATGCTGAGAAAATAAATAAGTAAGTGTAAAACTGATAAACTTAACATGATAAAGCATGTTTACAATAACTTACACACATTAATTTTTTTACTATTTTAATAAATTTTATTACTTATCACTACATATAGAGCCACGTTTTAGGATATTTGTAAGATATTTTGTTATCATATATCAACTATCATTTATTTTATAACTGATGCTTGTATACTGCTTCATATATGATAATTAATAACAAGCTTCTTTCTCATAACATTAGTATTTCTTCCATATAAGAATCAATTAAATGAAACTGGAAGAAAAAAATAGTTGATCTAATTAAAATTATAATTATTTTTTGTTCTAAATTGTATTTTTTGGTTGTTCTAATATGATAGTAGTAACATATATATAAGATTATTATCACTAATATTACAATAAAATTTAATAAAAACATGGTTTTTTTACCATATAATTTATAGTAATTATTTCTCTATGTCATTATAGTTATAAATGTCAAATATTTTTATTTCACAGTATAGTCCTATGAAGCAGGATTACAAAGGATACTACGGTGAAGTTGGGCATCTGAGAATTTTCGGCTATCATCGGGTAAGTCGTGTCGCACAAGCTTCACGCTTGTGCGGCCCCGATGTTGGCGCAGTCGCGGTTACTTTTAATCTATTTCCTTTTCTTTCGCTTGGCCAAAGGAAGATCCGGCTTTAGCATACAAGAGCCGCCAGTAGCGATGAGGGAGGGGAATCAGTAGGGAACGAGGGAGGAAGGGGAGCGTAGTAAGGGTTAGAGCAGCCGACGCGCGGCAGCCAGAAATGCATTAGTTATATTTTGAGATTGCATAGCGGAACGCCCCTTTGGTGCGCCTATTCCCTCCTACGTTTCAGCATTATTATGGAGATAAATGTGGCGAATATGTCACAACACTGTGAATCGATGCAAAATTCGTTTAAGGTGTAAATTGTCTAACGAAAGCACGACGCTTTATCTCGCATGTTTATTCGTTCCGTTTTCGCCCCGCTGATTCCAAACCGACTGTCGCGCGTCGTAAACGTCGCGTGTAACGTTCTGTTTGATTATTTACTTATCTAACGGAAGCAGACTCTTAGGATAATGGAAGAGTAAAGATAACATTACATAATTGTTTTTACAGGGAAGACAAATTTAAACAACGATATATTTGAGAAAGAAAATTTTTCCTCAAATTTTAGTTCACTCTATTTAAAGTTATCTCTCGCTTTAGCGCTGCTTGATTTATTATTGCACGTCTAAACAGGTCATAATATATCATATATCGATGGGGTTGTCACGTGAAAAGAAAGATTTGTAGAAATAACGAATAAGGTGGCCGTTCTTTCTGGGTTCTACTAATGGCACGATTTTAATGAGAACATAGAAAGTTGACACTGAACGATTTCCAAAGAAGTAACAAGCCCCCCATTCCCCAAGAGTTCTCCTCGTCGTTCCTTTAACTAGTATAATAGAGTATAGGGGCGGAGCATCTTATACTGCTGCTTGCCGCTCACCGTCGCTGTCGCCGCCGTTAAAGAGCAAAAAGAGAATATTCGTATTTCAAAGGAACGGGCCGTCACACCGTACCGACTTCTTCACAAAGAAATGTTTAAAACAAAGAAATTTGACATATACGGCGAATAAAGGACGTGCAACGATGTAATCGCCGCATACTTGGCAATACGGCGTATAATCATCGCGTATAAGAACGTTTAAAAAAATTGACCAAGTTCATTTGATTAATGTCTAATTTTAGTCAGAGATTAGTAAAGAGAAATGCGTCGTTTCTTCCTCCATCTCAATTTACGCAAGACACGCGAAATTTAATCGTCGATCTCAAGAGGATTCACCAGGTTATGAACTCTACATTATAAACTATTAAATAACGCGCGTTTCTTTACCCTCATTAGGGTTGCGTTCCAAAACATCCTTTTTTTTTTTAGGAAATTTTGCTTGATACTCTATAATATATGTAACGTGAACTATAGGTATTGAGTAAAATTTTCCTCAAAAAGAATGTTTTGGAATGCAACCTTCCAACAAACAAGGTGACGTCAAATGACGTCTTAATGACGTATTATTGACGTCTCTAACCTCAATAATACGTCATTAAAATGTCATTTGACGTCATCTTGTTTGCTGGGCTAGAAAAAGAGCCATTGATCAAATCGATGGCGGAAAAGTGTAACACTTTCTTTTCAATGAATTTCGCGAGACATCCGGTGGCCAATAGGAGAATTTGGTTTTTAGTAACTTTCAAAAGGCAAATTCTATTGGACAGCGAACGCGCTCCGAAGTTCATCGAGGCACAAGGGTTGCGCTCCTTCTGCCACCGACTGTAGCTCAGTTCAGTTCGCTAGAATCACCTTCGACGCGTCGCGAAGCGTCTCGCGGGACGGCAATTAATTCAACCGAACGAATGGTCAGAAAGCGCTTCACCGCTCCTCACTGTTGATACAGCATTTATACGCTCGCGAATACATCGTTACGGTACCCTGCGTCGCGCTGCTTTTATTATCGCGTGTGTCATTTAATGTCGTGGAAAGGGAGGAAGATCGAGAGAGACGGACGGAGAAGAAGATGGAGAGGAAGAAAGAGAGAGAGAGAGAGAGAGAACGAGAACGAACGGCGAGCGCCAACAGTTTGTGCACGCGCGCGTGCTATCACGCGTCGGTTTCGCGAGCCAAGTATTTAGCGCCAAGCAGAGTGCCGGGCAGAGATATCAGGTAAGGCACAGTGAAGAGGCGTAAACCATGGTTGCTCACGGTGCAGTGCTGTCGCCAATGGCCCATACGAATGTGGCTCCGCCTCTTAGCGTGGCCAGCCTCTCCTTCTTCGAGCCCGCGGCTTCACCGTAATCGCTTGGTTGCGCTCGGTCGAGCGTGCGCAGCAACGTTGTGCACGCGCGCGCGCGCGAGAGAGCGTGTAGGTGAAGGCGCACCACATCCACACGTGCAAGGGTGCGCATCTAAGACCGCGTTTTGCACGATCGTCCACCAATCGGCTACTCAACCACTTGTGGCCTTCGCGGGCTGTATGCTCTCGCTCGTCCTCTCCCCCTCCCTCAGCCGTCGCTCTTTTTCTCTGGAATCCTCTCTCTGTTCATCTGTCTCTCTTTCTCTCTCTTTTTCTGCTATTTCAAATGCCAAAGTGTAGATATGTCACTGTACGCGCGAGTGGGTGGCGTGCGCGCGCGCGAACGCCGAGAGAGAAGCTCCCGATTCCGTCCGTGAACGTTCCTCACATTCGGCCGATTCATTTGAACGCGCCCGTAGACGCGCTCTCTAACTACAGGCATGCATGCGTGTATATGTATAGAACGCTACAACGTTCGGACGTTCAGGCGGGGGATGTGTGCCTCTAAGAGCCGTAGAGGGATTTCTTATTTCTGCTCTGGTAAATCTGTCGCTCCAGTCAGTGAGGCAGCGAAGGGCGAGCTGCGCACCATTGACCGTGTCCGTGCTTCTTTTTTCGTCTGCTTGGCTGCCGGTTACCACCGAGACCACAATCCCGCCGTCCACAAACAGCGAGACGGTGTATAGTGCGTGTGTCTTTTTTTACGCCACTGTCTCTGTTTGTTGCTAAGCATTGTTGCAAGCATCGTGTTCCGTCGCGCTGCCGCGTTTTCTTACATCTGCCACCGCCTCAGCCGCCGTCGCCGTTGCCGTCGCTGCCTCCTCCGCGAATTCGCACAACATCAACGCGACACGCAATTTCGCGATCTTTCTTTCTTTCTCGACTCGAGAATCGCGAGAATCGAGTCGCGCGCGTACGCCCGCCGTGATTGCTGTTGTTTCACGATTGTCTCGGCTTTGATTTGTGAAAAAAAAGAAGTACAACATCGCAACATCCGTTCGGTGATTCGGATCTTCGCGAGTTGTAGGGCGCGCGAATCGTAAAATTCGGAGTAATTGGTGTGTCGGAAGGCACGGTTATCGAAATTATAATGGTGCCGCTTGTTCGCATGGCAATTCCGAAATCAGTCGCACCTGCCTTCTCGTTAGCGCATCGCGTATCCAACGATAGCAGTCTCCTTTAGATCTCCCGCTACTTCCCGTTTTCTGCGGTTGCGCGTCCTTCATTTGCCGTCTTTTATGCATTTCACGCGACGTCTCTCGATATCGCATCATCTGTTGCTGATGATTTGTCATTGCGCAACGGGAGATTAAAACTGCGCCCGGAGAAGCGTAACGGCGGACCGGTCGACGAAACTAGCCTCGAGTGAATTTAGAAAACCACGTGCGGTTGCGAAGATCGCGCATCGTATGTAGCCGACGGCTGGCGGGCTGCGCATCTTTCTGATGGATCCGATCATGCTAGGTGAGCAAAGTTTCATCGTCTCCGTGAAATAATTGCGAATTGTGCTTATACAAACGTGGCACTGTCGCGCGACAATGTTGTATATTTATCGTACACCTGCGTTTATTACGTCAAGAAGCGATCAGCCGACTCAGTTCGTGTCTCCGCGTATTCGCGAATATTCTATTTGCAATGCGTTTTGTCGATTTCTTGAACAAACGTTGTTCAAACTTAAAAGTTGGCTTTTCAACAGCAGTTTCAACGCAGATTTCGTGTTTAAGCTCTATTTTAACAGTATGTTTGATCATTTAAGCAGAGTTTTGCCTTGAATCTAAGTTTAAGCTGCTATTGAAAAGTTGGCCCTAGTGTCGCATACAAAAAGATTCCCACGGCTACGTGCAATTAGTAACATACAGCTTTGTCTTTTCAGTCTATTTTGCGACATGTCCGTGTTCAATAGAGAGAAGTTAATTTTCAATAACTTTCAGAGGATAAATTTTCCTTCTGGATAACAAACGCGTTCTATAGATTATTCAGATAAAAGTGTTGCAATCTTTGTCGGTGACTGTGTTCTGTAAAATGCAATGTTTCGTTTTGAATTACTAATGTGAGGTGAAAATATTAGATATATATGAATTGTAATTTAAAACTGTAAACAGATAAAAACTGTATGACAGATTTTTGTTTACGCCACACGTGTTTTAGACAAGCGAAATTGGGCACACAAAACGCGCGAAACTTGATTAGCGACCATGTATTGCAAATTGTAATTGAGAATATCGCGAAATGACAGTCTTACATTTTCGATAATTTTCCACTAATAAGTTGGTTAGTTCACCGCGTAATTTTACCGCGTAATTTTTTGCGACTTGTATCGGACACAATCTGGTCATTCTTGCTTCAACAGTCGGATATTTCGAACATGTGAAGAGTTCTCACTAGTTGCGTGTTTGTCAAACGATATAATCAGGGCCACAGCGACGGCTTGTAACAGTAATTCCAAAACTGAACAGTTGCCGAAGTCAAAGGACAAGGAAGCCGCAAAATAGAGGCGGGAGTAGTACCGGATTAGATAATTACTTAGGACTGGAATTAGAAACAGTTAGGGCGTGGAAAATGGTTTCATAAACGCCAGTCTTGGAGGTTCGCTCTATGGAGAGGTTCTAAGTATAACAATAACGTTATTATATTGCGTCCGTGAAGTGGATGTAAATGCATTTGAAATTTACAATGATCCGCGTTTATCATTTTGTTATGTTTCTCACTATTATACTTGTAACTGGTGGTTCAGTCATAAGTACAGCAATACAATTAGTAAAATCTCGCTGAAGGGATCAGTTAATGATAGCTGTTCGTATTTGCTAATGTGAACAGACAGTGTTATCGCACGCAAGGCGTACACGGAAAAAAGTTTGGTTGGATGAATCAATTTCTAGTGAAATACGAGCGATTCAGAAATTCCGATTGAATTATCAAACTTTTGCTTAAGTTAATCAGAAATCTCAATAATGTAGACTGAATTCTGATAACTTACAGACCAGAATTTCTGGGTCGTTCATATTTTACCACGAATTGGCTGGTCTATCGTCGCAGGAAGTTAGATTTGGTACAGCGAATAACGAATTTGTGTACTACAAATTTTGCAATTCTTCCACACTGAGAGATAAAATATATAAAAAATAGTAAATATTTTTTTAGTAGATACTAATAACATATTTACTTAAATCTAAATTATTTTACCTAAATAGAATAAATTGTTCTCAGAAAAAGTTAAGATTTTCTTAAGGTTTAAAAAATGTATATTTTCTCTTACTTGGAAAATATTCTATACTAGCTTAAACTAACATTAGTTTAAACTACCCGGCGTTATCACAAAATGTTAAGAGGAAATCGGGGAGAGGATGAGGTGTCCAGATTTCATGTAGCCTATATTTTTCGCAGAGCCCTAAAGAGTAACTATGCAAAATTTGGTTCAGATCAAAGGGTTCAGGTCAAAGGGTTTAGGAATATATAGGAAATAGATACAAACTATATAGACACAGAATATATAGGAAATAGACGTTCTCTCTCTATTTTATACAAAGTATGAGTAAGTTAGTATAAGTGAATATGTTATTAATAGATACTTATCATGAATAAATATTTACTATTTCTTAGATTGTTTCTCAATGCACCGTTTACAGTCAGTGAGATATAATACGAAACAATCAAGTGCGTTTTCACTGAAAATCAGTGAACACCGATTTTCGATAAAATACTCCTATTACTGCTTTATTCACAAACATTTCTCACTTGGAGAGAATGTTATATCGAGATACAACATCGATATTTTATCATATCGATCAGCCGTTGATTTAAATCGCGGCGAGAAATTTTTCCTTCAGTCGAGCGGATTGGCGCGCGCGCGAGCGACTGGATCTAATCGTAAATGGCACGTTATTTAATTCGCTGCGTTTACGTTTTCTCTCCCCCGGTTAATTAGCCGCGCGATCGTTAGATGCTTAATATAGCCGAGCCAATGGTTGCAACGAGTGCCGTGCGACAAGCCACAACGCGTGCGAAATCTTATCTTCAGGTACATAACTATCGCGGCACGTATAATGATGACGTGAATAGCGCGATGCAAGTGCATCAAATGGGATACGCATTAGAAAAGGAGCTATATCGGCGAGGTTAGGCCTTAACGAGAAAGCGATACGCTTAACGGCACGTACAGAAAGACATTTGCGGCGAAATTGTTCGCGAGTACAGTATTCGACTGGATCTCTTCTCTCGTTGGTTAATCACGCCCGCGACACGTCAATGTGTGTTAGTCCGATTGTCGCGAAATACCGTGGCGCTAAAAAGTAGCATCATTATTGTTTCGAGACGCATCAACGCGGGCCCGCATATAATCATGTTCGACACGGCCCATTCATAGAAAGTATGCTGTATTCATTTCTTCGGTAGAAACCTTTGACCCTCCTTAGTGGGTCCCGGATGCCCCCGCTCTTATCGCTGGGAGAGTTTGTCCTTTTTTAATCCGGCGCTGATTGCCGTACAAGAATTGGACGCGAGAGACAGAGAGAAAGGAATCGGAGAGAAACGACAAGTTATAATTATATTCCAATTTTGCACGTTTCGCGCTTCGCCGCCGAAGTCCGTCGTCAACAACGGGAGGAAGGAGATCCGCGGTGCTTTCGCACACGCGTGTATATATCGCGCACACCGTGGCGCGAACAAACACGTAGATTACGTTTGCGTAGAGCGAACCGTTAAATTGGCGTTTCAGCTTTCGGACACGTTGATTGCGGTGTGACCGCGATAAATCAGGCACGCTCTTGTAAAATTCGCGCGGTCGAAATCGTTCGGCGCGAGTTCTGTTTGTCGCTCGCGATTAATTTTACTTTCTTTCTCCCACGAAAGAAGAGTAATATTATCTCCCATCGCGCGGCGCACACGTCGCGGGAATGGACGAAAATCGATGTAAATAAGCACGCAGCCGTTGCTTCGCTTACGCGAAGATGTAGCAAGAATTTGTTATGACTCGTGAAACACTGCCGATGACCCAGATCTAAGTTTACTCTTGCAACAGTGCTTGCCACTTCGTAATCTCTGACCGGGAAAGTAACAAAAGCGATACTCCCCATGTCAGTGCAGCTAATAACGCGTCACCTATTCGGTCGTCATATACGGCGACGGGGACGAAGGTACGAATACCGAAATGTCGCTGTAGTAATGCTTCTCAAATGAACTTCCGGGACACCGCGGTAGCACTGTGCGTCGTCTCATCTTGAGGACTTTTTTCCCGCGAGTCTCGCCGACGAACGTCGTTCGTCTTCTTCGCCGCGCGCGGTGAGACTTAACAAACTAATCGGCTAACTGCGGACGCTTCTCATTTAAGAATTTATTAGTCTCGACATCTTGGTATCGGGACATTCCCTCGTGTCCGAGTTGTCTCCGGGAATCTGCCACTGAAACCGAAACGTCACGACAGATCTCCGAAACACCTGTCCGCGTCCGTGTGTGTACGTGCTTGTGAAATGAAGAGACTGCCCTGCGCTCTCTAATGCGGGATCAATAACACGACGAAAACGGACCGACTTCGCAAATGAAACAAGTCGACGGTGGAGAAAGAGAAAAGGACCATTGCACAGTAATGCGCGCAAGAGTGAGAAAATAATATGAAGGACTAATGAGCCGACTTTAAAACACCACTATTATCTATCTCGGCTGCCTCTCCGTGTGTGACGTTAACAATATCCGAAGTCAATGACACCAATACACTCATAATGCTACTCGCCACTGATATGTAACGCGCTACATTGGAAACGTAAAAGCGCGATAAAACATCCGAACACTCCAAAGTCATCGTGCGTGAGACAGATACGTAATCGCGCGCACATTATCAATAATAACGATTTATCGCGACTCTTTGTAACAAATTATTAACATCTTACGATGTTACGATATTACTCGGTGTCTCCGAATAAAATTACGACCGATTTGATCTTATTAACGACTGAATCGAAGGCTGTGAATTGAAGCTGCCACGATTTGTCTGAGGACACCTGGACAGCAGCAGAGAACTGACGCGTCTTATTCTCAACATAGCGACATCGCAATAAGCATTCGAACGAATTACACGAGATCTCGAGGTAGCAAAGTCGTTGGGACTGAAAGAGGAGCTGCCAGGTGTCCCGCAAAATGCCGATATTTGTGTACAAGACGAAGGACGACCGTCATAGATTCATTAGCGTTCAATTAGCACTATTTGTTTCCGTTAAATAACGAGTGCAGCTTTTAGAAATGCTGTTGAAATAGGATTTTGGTCCAGTTGACAGAGGTCTGTACAAATATTGGCATTAGCTGCTGGAATTTTCTCTCGACTACCTACCACACAAGGGAATCCTCCTGTGCTCGAGATCAAAAAGAGCCAGCAGCCAAGTTGTAGTCGGGCGAGAGCCGCGCAGAGGAGTGTGTGAAACAAGCTCGGGAAACTTTTAATTCTTCCGTTAAATCATCGCGCGACAACCTTTAAA